CAGGTTCATTTCATTAAAGACACGTTACTGTATCCTTGTAAAAGCTGTGGTTATGTTTAAGTTCATTATTATTCTACAAACCTTAAACTGACAACAAAAATAAATGTGCTATTAGACTGTAGAGTATATGAGACTTGTGTGGTTGAAGGTCATAAGCTGGAGCAGAGTAGCCCAGAGTAGCACTAATCCTCAGTAGTTGTGTTTAAATAAAATGTCTAAGAAATAAAGTGATTTTAGTTTTTATGTGTTTATGACTGTAATTAAAATCATTTAGATTCTTTACATATTACTCTCTACAGTCTGTATCACTGAAAAATAAACACCAATCAGGACACAATGGTTGGAAACATGTTACTCACAGTGTGAAGCTTCAATAATTTTGTCACTTTTATCAACAAAGCGCTGCAGAAACATCAACATCTGTCTGTCTTTCTGACAGATCATCGTATCTGAGAACGAGAAGGATGAAATCATTCAGAAGCTGATGGAAACGTTTCCTACACTGGAATCAAAGGTCAGTGAAAGCATCGCTCAGAAGACAGAGGTAGGGGTGGGGGTGTCATAATGCTGAATTTGTATGTGACTGTGTCCTCCAGATGTGTAAAGCTCAGGTGAAGAGCAGAGGACATCATTACTAATTACTGATCACTTCTCCAAAAAAGTAAACCTATCACATTACCTATCAAAATGTAATCGGATTACGCGTTATTGCCCATCTGTGGTCAGCACACTCTCTGAGTACTCATCCTTGAATGTTGTCCTGCTGCCTTTCATACACTCACTCTCCTCAGAGTTTTACAGACATCAGTCACTCTGAGATTCAGTGTTTTCTCATCAGGGTGAAGACTGTCTTTTATTGCAGGGTGTTGTTGTTGGTTGAAAATGTACAGAGAAATTTGTTGAGTTCATTGAGACGGTGTGTGTTGTTGTCACACATACTTGCTTCTTATATGAAAACTCTTAATTTAAGACAAATCTTAATTAATTTACTTATAATGAAATTAAAAACACAGTTGTTTCTTTAGGGTCTCCATTCTTCAAGTTATATCATATCAAACTTGTGATTCCATATAGTAATTAATTTGTTGACTCTGTGTAATCACC